TATATATATATATATATATATATATATATATATATATATATATATATATATATATATATATATATATATATACAAAAAATAGATTTTTTTTTATATTTTAAATTAAAATTAAACTAAACCTAAAATCTATATATTCATTATTTTAAATTTTCATTTATTTTTTGTAATTTTATTATAGATAAATTTATAAAATGTTAATTTTTTTTATTATTATATTTAGAGATAAATTTATAAAAATATTCTAAATTTAAAAAAGTATAATTTTTATTTTATTTTATAAATATAAGAAAAAAATAAAACAAAAATAAACATAAAAAAATATGTCTTATAATAATATTAAAAATATTATTGCAATAAAGTTCGATATAAAGGATGTTTCTAAAACAGGAGGACGGTAATATTTTTAAAAGCCATATTTTTTTATATATATATATATAATTTTTAGTTCTAAACTATTATATAGCTGGTAATTCTTAATAAACTAAAACAGAAATTAAATAGATTTAGCTTATTCAATAAAAACTGGAAAATATAGATTATTCTTTAATAAAATACTAATATAAGAACTAAGAAAGTAAATAAAAAAAAAATATATTTTTATATATAAAGTAAAATATATATATAAAAATAGATAAAAGAATTCAAAAGAATACTACTAATAATTTTAAACATAAGATATTTAATTTTTAATAAAATAAACATGTGAATTTGGATTTGAGATATTTATAAATGGCTTATCTTTTTAATAAATATAAGAACAGGAGTAATTATTATGAAATATTTATATATATTCATAGAATTTTTATATTTTTTATTAGGTCAAATAATGAATAAAAAAAAAAAAATATATAAGAAAATGAAAATTAAAAATAACATGAAATTAATTTCGATTAGGCTACATTTTATTCATTTATAAATAATCAATCCAATTAAATAAATAATTTAGGTATTATAGATGATCTAATTGATTTTCCTGAAACAAATTAAATTAATAATAAATATAAAATAGAAGATTTGATAGAATTCGAAGAATAAAATAGTGATACAAATGAAATAACTACCATATAAGATAACATATAAGCATAAAACAATGAATAGAATAATAAACTAATAATAAATAATTAAAAAAAAGACTCAAAAGATAATAATATAAATGTTATAGATGAATTAATTAATATTTCTGATACAAATTAAACAAATAAAAAAATAAAACAGATGATTTAATAGAATTCGATGAATAAAATAATCATACAAATAAAATATTAACTATAAAAGATAACAAATAAGAATAAAACAATAAATAAAATAACGAAATAATATAATAAAATTAAAAAAATGATTCATAAGAAAATAAAGATAAACATAATATAATAAATATATGTGATATCATGGGTTAATAAACAGACGATAAATAAGACATAAATAAAATATAAATAAATTTATAAAAAAATGAATAATCAAATGTATAATAATAAACTGAAAATATAAAACTATAATAAGCATAAAATAATAACGAATAAATAAAAGATTTTAATAATTTTTAAACGTAATATATATAAAATTTTTAAAAATATGATATATAATATATATAAATATATATATAGTAGTATATATAACACATAATTTAACACTAATATGAGCTTATTTTCAATGTTAGATATTTAAGCAGAATAAATAAACGAATAACTTCAAAAATAAGAATTTAAATAAAAAAAAAACGATCCTTTTTCTAATATAAAAACAGAAATATGAAGAAAAAAATAATAATATATATTTATATATTAATATATTTAAAAAAATCTATATATTTATATATATATATTTATATATATAAATATAAAGAAAAAATAAAATAATAATTATATATTTATATATATATATTTTTTTTATTAATAAAAAAAAAATTTTAATAATATTATAAATATATAAATATTAATTTATATAAAAATTATAAATATTTTTATTTAAATTATATATTAATATATTTATATATATTTTTTTATAAATATTAATATTTATTTTTTATTATCAAAATAAATTATATATGTTTTTTCTTTTGTTTTAAATTCTTAAATAAAGTATTATATATTTATCATTTTTTAATTATAAAATATTTTAAATATATATTTTATTTTATAAAAAAAAAAATATATATATATTAATATTTATAAATAATTAAATATATTTATTATTTATATATTTATATATTTATATATTTTTATATTTATATATTTATTATTTTTATTCATTAAAACTAATTTTAAATAAAATTCGCTTCTTGTATAATTTAATTAATATTTAAATGACTTATTTATTATAGACAAACCATAATAACAGCAAAATCATTAGACATAAGTTATTTTCTTTTTATTTTTAAAATAGCTAGTCCAATATAATATATATATTTTATCATATTGTCTTATGAAAAAAGACAATCCCAAAGCTATATGACTTTATCAATTGAAAACTCTTATGTAAAAAGTAACAGAATCCACCTTAAAGCATAGAAATGAGGATCAACATCCATTTTATCGAAATGCGCAGCTAATTGAGAGTCGTTTTTGTGCAAAAAAGATCTAAACTCGAAACACTTACTTCTTATTCCTTATTAATAATCATCAAGTTCTCTTATAAAACGATCTTTAATGAAGCTCATTAGATGTGTAAATATATAGAAAGCCCCACACTCAGTTTAAAAGAGTTCATCTTATATATATAAATGTAAAAAATTTAAATCAAATTCTCTTTCAGCCTACATAACATAATATAAAGGCGCTAAAATTTCATTCATACCCTAAACATACAAAACAGCATTATTCAATTTAGCATAAATGAAAAGAATTCTACTTAATACATCACAATGTCTTTCTTCTAAAGTTTATTACTTTTTTATTTTTTCAAGTCTAATTTATGTCTGGAATGGAATCTAGTATATATTATCATCTCTCATAGTTAGTTTTGTAAAAAACTCGATTTCTTATCGAGTTCTTTCTGTATCTTTTTCTATTTAACTAAAAATCTCATGATCTTGAAAATATTATGTCCATATATTATTTTCTTGGGTATTTAATGGATGATGGTCAGTTATGTTTTTATCTTAATTATTATTGTTTTATTGATTTATATTGTATTTTTTTGAAAAAGTTTGATCGTTTTTTAATTATTTTTATGTATTTTAGTAGTATTATTCTTACTTATTTATAATATTATCATCATTTTATAAAGGTTAATTTGCTTTTTTTTAATAATTCTAGTCTATTATTTATTTTTTTTCAACTTTTTATTATTATTGTTAGTTATAGTCTATATAATTGTTGTAGTCATCGCAACTTTCTTCGGGTTTATTTATTTTTTTCAAAAAATCTTATAAAAATTATATGTAACTTTATTAACTGTTTTATAATGTTTAGACCCATTTTTAACGTTATTTTGGTAAATAATTTAATAATATTTTCCATATTAATGGACGTAAACCTTTTATTGTATTAGGAATACCTTTTTTTGATTTTGATTTTAATTTTTGAATGTTTATTTGTTCTTGGTCGAGAATCTTTAATAACTTTAAAGATTTTTCGTGGTCTTTTTAAGGAATTGGGATTAGGGGGTTATTTAATTGGTTATATAGGTAATCGAGAGAATAAAATGTTTTCATTTATTCCATTTTTTATTTTTTTTTTTAGATAAAATTTATTTATTTTTATTATCAAAATATTTATATTATGTTTAAGAATTTTTTTAAAAATATTTTTTTTTTTTCGATAGAAATTATTATTTATTTATTTAATATTTTTTTTATATTTTTGTTTAAAAATGCAACATATATAAAATATATAATTGAGTGCATTTATTTTATATATATATATAATATAATTTAGGGGCGTATTTTATTATTGATTATAAAAATACTTCCCTTTTATATTATTCCCTATATTAAGTTTTTGTTTAGCTATATAAATTTTGCGGAAAATTAAAAAAATTATTATAAATTAGCTTTTTTTGTATTTTTTTTTTTTTCAAACTTATTTAAGAGAGAAAAAAGAAAAAAGAAAAAAAGAAGAAAGAAAAAAAAAAAAAAAAAACAAAAAAAAATTAGTTAAATTATTCAATTCTCATTTTAAATATCTTTTTTCTAAAATTAAAAAAATAAAAAACAAAAAATTAAAAATAAATAAAAAATAAAAAATACTTATTATTCTACAATTTGTTAAATTTATTTAAATTAATATTAAACAAATAAAGGTTTATACTTATCATCCTAAAAAAAAACATTAATAAGTATATATTTATAAAAATACCTTTTAATTCATAATAGATGAAGATTAAAAAATGTTCAACTAACTTTTCACAACCTTAAATTCTAGCATAACATAATAAACATATCTTTTTAAAATTTAATTATATATTAATTAAATATAAAAGAAATATAAACCTTATCGGAGTTGTATTTTTGCCATTTAGTATCATTAAATTCCTAAAAGAATTATCTAATAAATCTACATTCTTTAAAATTAATAAAAGCATAACCAACATTACATTAATTCTAATATTTATTTTGTTTTTAATTTAACAAAAAAAATATATATTACTGTAAAATCAATAGGTAGATAAAAAAAATCATAAGTATCATTATGATTCTTATTAATTAATTCCAGAAGTGTATCTTATTCGTATTTATTTGGAATATTTTTTATCATTAGTGTAGTTCTTCCATCATATTCAATCTATAAGTTTTTTTTTTTTATAAATTTAAATCGTTTATTTTTTATAAAAAAATTATAAAAATATTTACAATATCTAAGTTAATTTTAAATTCATATGCTAAATCAGAAATAGTATGTCTATGTCTTATAGGTTTTAAAGATTATTTATTAAATAATTATTGTTGAATAATTTATTATTATTAACAAGGTTTTTATAATTGTTTTTATTTATCAGTAGTATAATATAAATTAATATTATTTAATTAAAGCTATTATTGTTTAGTTTTGAATCCTAATTAAAATTATTATGGTTTTTATTATTATTATTAGTAAAATTAGAAATTTCTATTATTAGGAAGAAAATTATTATTATGTTTATAATATAAATTATTATTAAAGAAAGGAGAAGGATTATCAGACAATTATTATTATTATTATTATTATTATTATTATTATTATTATTATTATTATTATTGTTTTTATTATTACAATTATTATTGCTATTATATTAAATTTGGATTATTATTAAAAAGTTATTACTAATTTATTACTAAAAAATTATTATTTTTAGGTGCTGGAGGAAGAACAGGTTTAAAATTTTCAAAAACAAAATTGTTATTATTTTAAGAATCTAAAAAATTTAAGGTTGTATTTTCTTATATTGCATAAAATTACTTTTAATAAAAATTATTAGATTATTATTCGTTTAAATCAAAATTTAATTACTATGGATCAATATTATAATTCTATATTAATTTTTATAATTTAAATAAAATGTTTTTAATAATTATTTATTACTTTTATGCAATTTTAACTTTCTTCTGTTTTTCTAGTAGTTGTAGTTAATTTATTCGAAGATGAATTAGAATATCCAAAATTAGACAAAAGTTCTTCTTTAGGAGATTTTATTTCATAACTTTTTTTGCTATTACTAGAAGGATCTAAATATAATAAAAAAAATAAAAAATATATAATAAATGTAAATATATATAAATAAAAATATATATATATATTTATATAAACCATATCATTTATTTTAATATTATTATTTTATATATTTTT